CAGTACAGAGAATTGCAAATTAAATCCGATCCGAGAGTCTGCGTGATTTAACATCACGTCCTTCCTACCTCCAAGTATCATTTAAATGCATGAGTCTGTTAATTGCCTCGGCTTGATACTTATCTGCAGGGAAGTCATTATCGGCACGAAGTCACACGACAAATTTTTCGATGATCAGCAGTAATATTTCGCAGCAAATGTAAACTAAATACACGGACAATTTTTGTCAAAAATACATTTCATATATCTTAAAAGTTTTTTCAATTTTATTATTAATGTATTAACTAAATTTTATTGTTAATGTATTAATTTAATGAAATAAAATAAATATATTAAGAAATAACATTATGTAAAATTAACACAATAAGTGTGACACTGACATACTCGTATATAATTTAGGAACAAATTTTTTTCTGTAAAATTAACATTTATAATGTGTTAAATTAACGCGCTCGTCTTTTACTTATTTATCTTAAAATTTACATTTTAAAACTACATTAACGTATTATTCATACATTTTTTTAACACTAACAAAAGAAAATAACGTTATATAATTATAAATTCTGATATATTAAAAATTCAACACAAAAATTTTAACACAAGTACACAATGTTTTTTACTCTACACGAGATGTGCGAGAATTTAACTATAATGTATAATTGTATTGTAAAAGTATTTTTCGTGATACACCCTAATCTATTTACAAGAAAGCGACAGCTATAAGTGATCGATTATGAACCGCACCTCGAGCACATAGAAACGTATATTTACCCTGTAAATACCAGAAGCTCCGCATTTTCACTTACGTATTCAAAATCGGATTAATGCGAACAAACTAAAAGATAACTGATGCTACTGGATTACTGTAAAACTAACGCGTAGAAATTATGTAGGTTATACAGCTCATGAATGCACATTTATTTGTTTTTATCTGGCTTTCTATTTTAGATAAATATGAATAGAAATTATTATCAAATCGAAATGAAAAATCATTTAACGTATCGATTGGAATACATATATCGATCGTAAATAAGTGAGGAGCAGACTTTTAAAATGTGTTTTTTCCAAAATGTTGTTTTTTTAGTTAGGGATGACGTAATGTTCAGTGTTGAGAGACTGAAATGTTCAGAAAGCATTTTTTATCATCAATTTATATACTGAAAAAACACATTGACACATTTTAAAGGTGCATTATGTTTTTCAACTAGAGATAAACAAAATCTGTTTAATATTTTAGCAATTGTTCACAGAAATTTTGTTTAATACGTTACATCCTACTGATTGACATATTGTTATTTTCTGTAATGTGCATAATTTTCTTATGTATGTACAGTTTCTGTTTTTCTCGTTTTTTACAAATTACAAATTTTGGACAAAATGCGTTTTGAAAGTTTACTCTTCGAGTGTCTTTTATGGGAGTAAAATTTATTCACCTCTCTTTTGCACGTCTTTTCAAGGTTTATCGAATATTCTATTCGATCGATTAGCTTATATCAACTCCACAAAAAATTCTACCGTATCATAAAATTTGCCAACTGTATTATAATCTTTGTACAAAATATTTCGGGATATTGACATTTTTTTATTCTCTGTGGCACGATGGTTTTCTTTCCACCGATATAAATTCATCGTCGTAAAAAGAACATTTTTTCTCGCTACGGAGACTAATGTCCGCCGAGTGTACCTACGCGAGCTTGATTACACTCCGGGGAATAAAACGCAACTAATTGAATGCGGTCGTGTAGGGAAATTCTGCATTGTGCTCTGCATAATTACGTAATTCAGGAGTATCTGTCGTGCGAAACAGAGTTTCCAATTAGTTTGAATCGTTTTATTGTCCTTACTTACGCGAGTAGACTGCTACCGTTATCGAATGCTGCTTTCATGATCGTAAAGTATTAAAAAACTTACGAACGCATTCACTAAGGTTCGATTTTTCATTATCTAGCTAACTTATATAGTTAGGTTTAACCTGATGTTTCATCCAATGAGGTTTTTAATTCCATAGATGAGGTTCATTCTAATAGTAGATTTGAAATGCATGAGTAATAATAAATATAAATAGCGTATAGATGAAATAAGTTTAAAAGGTGTAAAGGGGGATGTGTATGGGTTAACTTTATTTTTGTAAATTGTGCTTTCTTGACAATGTAAGCTGAAGTAAATAAACAATCATTCAATGCTAAATAATTTAAATGTGCAGTCCGTCATTGTAGTTGTATACCGTTCATTTAAAAAGATTTAGTATATTTTTTAAATTTATTACATAAATTATGCTTATATAAAATTTTTATTCGCAATTACAATTTTAGTTATACTGCATGTTGGTTAGGAAATGGAAGCAGAGTTTATAAAACAGTACTAGCGCTTTATGTTGAAACTTTTCTACCGCGTACAATTGACTTCAGAAATTAAATGATGAAGAACTTTGGGGATTTAAATTCTCGTAAAGTTTTGACATCGCGCTCTTTAGACGCTTCAGCTATCATTCTACTAATAGTTCTTATTTCATAAATCCATTCCCGCTATTCTGCGAGATTACAATAAGCCCTTAATTAAAGACTACGAAAATGTACGGTAAATTATACATGTTATTACAATTAATTACAATAGCAAGTGTTACATAGCAACTTTTAATCCTGATTTAGCGCTTTATATTTTAAATGATTCGAGTATCTCGTCAGCAATTGATTTTGAGTGAATTACAAATGAATAATTATATTGTTGATTGGACAAATTTTTTATCGAGTGTAATATTTTGTTTATCTATTTTTACAATTTTAATACATATATATATTATGTATATTTATTTAATGTATCTTGAATTAATTATAGTTAACTTCAACAATGGATTTCGAATTCATGCGTTTTGAATGGCAAATGATGCGTTTCAGTGAGACACAACGATACATGAATGAAAGATCACTTTTTCGAATTTGATATTTAAAAAGTCTGTATTATCGACCTTGATCAAGTTTGGCTGTCGCTCCAGCATTCCATTAATCATAATAAATTAATTTTAATAAAATGATTATGAACTTATTTTGTTCATAACTTTTTAACAGATAACGAGCGATGGTTAAAATCTGTCAGAGGTTACTCAAGGTCATGACCTTGACCACATATGTCAAGGTTAAGATTATGGGGAGATTATTCCTTTATTCGGTGTATTTATCTTTTAATTATTTTCTTAATTGCGCATGCGCGCGTACACACAGACAAATGATGATTTCAACATTTATAGAAGACGAACGATCTGTCAATGTCAAAATGTGTCCATGTGTGTGTTTCTACATACAATTTAACTCTCACACAAGATTTATTAAAACTCGCGATTAATTTATTTACAAATTGTTAATTAATATTTATTCGTCCAACTTTATTTGTCTCGATTACAGTGACTTGACTCTCCTCTATTTACCTCCACTCGCGAATCATTACAAATAATTGAAATTAATTGCGCTTCGCCCTATCTATTCTTTCATTCGCGAGCGTACCGGAGGTAGGCATTGTACGGCGCGAAAGAGTTGATTAATGTTTTCCATCGTTGAATTAATGCTCAACGAAAACATAAACGCCCTTTGTTTTCTCCGACATAGATTAAGCGCGATTTTTCTTTCTTTTCATTTCACAAAAGTGCAACCTGCGTACATCTCGTCATTGCATAATAAAGTATATATGCGATCGAAAAGGTTAATGATGTTTAATTAACCCTCCAATGCACATTTATATCGCTTATATCAGTTTTTTCTCATTTTAATGTGAAATCAAGCTTGCACGAGCCGTGCATCTGATTGTTCTTTCAGCATTGAAATAAATACTAATTCATTACGTATTCAGCACAGTTCTTAAAATAATTCAAAAAGTGAGGGGCTATAACTCTTTATATAGGCTTATAGCATATATAAAATTTTAAACGTAAAATTTTTATATATGAAAAAAATCTACTAAATTAAAATAGTTTTATTGCAATTTCTGATTAAAATCCATGTTAATCTCCATAAATTCACCAATTTTTGAAGGAAACGATCAAATCGACAACCATTTCCACCTTTTAATGCCACATTAGTACTCGCCGTAATTATACGCTTGATTCTCAGTACTTCCGAGTGTCAGTCCAACTACTCGGCCACAATTTCGCGAAGTAACGAGAGTAGTCGCATTTCTGCAACGAAATTTAATACGCATTTAGAGATAGTGTATCGCGCGTAACGCGATCTTTTATCATTCACCGCACACCCGCATTCGCTGTCGTCGATGCACTCCAAGTACACGTAATATGTATCGATTTTCGACTGAATCAATAATGAAATCTTTCAAAGAGATGCGAGAATCGACACCGATGCGACAGCAGTGAGCGGGACAATACGCTGTTAAGAACAACCGTAAAGCTACGAAAGGGCATCGAGAAAAAGAAAAAGAGAGAGAAATTATGCCGGACAAAAATCTCGTCTGCCGGAATGGACAACGCGAAAACAAAGATTTTCTTGCCGGCGAAATATCATCCATCGGCATGTCGTTACAGCCCAGCGGGAGCGCATCCTCCGGTGAGTAACTACTCTACTTACTGAGGACGTATTTTTGATGCGAATCTCGAGAGCCAGCATAAAACATTTGGTAACGTGTTGCATAATTTGCGTTTACGGTGCTACAATACATATACGTTAGATCTGCGCACTGAAAGCATGGCGAATTAACTCCCTAATTTTGGAATTATTGTATACTTCCATACATGGTAATATTAGAGCGAACACTTTTTATTGATTTTTCACTCGCGATTAACTAACAATTCTGAAATAATTGCAATTTGTGAAGAAAGTTTATTTAAAAAAGTGCTTAGTTGATATTTTTCTTATTTAAAAAAAAATATTTTTACATATTAATCTTTGATGAAGTACAAGTTGACGAATAAAACATTTTTCTTAACATTATTATTCATACACATGTGGAAAATAAAATATTTAGTGTGTACGATAGAAAAATATTCACTCTAAGCGTAGTCATTTTTGTGAAATGTTATTCTGCGAATACAAATTTTTTCGAGCTGTCAAATATGACGTTTTTAAATTAAAATTGATATAGAAATCTGATATATCTATCGCGTTATACAATCGATTTCCATTCTTGGAGCAGTCTTAATAGCATTCTTACAACGTGTCCATTAGTAATAACTTCTCTACCATATTTGCCATCCGCAGTGATACATTTTGTTAGTTCATCTCTTGAATGTATACATTCCTGAGAAATAGACAGGGGAAAAGATTCGGCCGTAGTCAAACCCGTACGAAGTTGATTGAATAGATTCAGCACGACACATTCTTTCATGAAAACTTCAGAATTGGCTATCTTAACGTCATCTGCTGCGCATAGCCACAATATATTATCCAGCCAGTTATCCTCCTCGCGTTGATCGGTCTTGTAACTTATGCCCAGATCTTGCAACCACAACGTCAACTACAATGTGAAATTTAGATTTGAAATTGTTTGATTTGAAGTTTAGATTCGAAACTATTTCCAAAATCGCATTCCTCTCATGTTGTAGTAAATCTGTCATCGATAACGCGAACGAGCGTTAGAACGGAACACCAGCATCCGGTTATGAGTATCGAGAATAGTGATGAAACATTAAAAATCTCCACGCATTTTGCGTCCAATGTCATGTTACACAGATAGTCTCGATTCCAAATTAAATTGAATTATTAATTTTGTAACTTACGTGCCCAGATCTCGTAGAATTACGATGTAGAAGTTATAGATTTGAAATTATTTAAACTACTTGATTTAATAATCTTAATTGTCTATCTCCGTATTGCTACGCAATAAAATTAATATATAGGTCAATTTTAAGCCAACAACTAATGGATTATAATTAAATATTAGTTTATTATACCACATTAAAATTTGAACTCAATTTTGAACTGGTATATAAAGCTCTGTTTCTATTGCTTTTGGACATAAAATCTAATAGTTTCTGACATAGATTTAATCATTATCATTTTTAAATTTAATGAAGCTAAAAATTTATGAGCAATGTATTAATTCGTGAATCAACAATTTTATTATTGGACTTATTTTCTCGCTTTTGAGGAAATAGTTATTAAAATATCATGAACTTGAAAAATAGCGTTCCGTACATGTCCAATCATTACAGTGGCTATATATAGTCATCTTTTTAACTCAATTCTAAGTTTATTATGTAATTTTTATTCTACAAATATTTTATATTATATTGCGGCTGAGGAAGACTAAATTAAATCGAAACGTCCCTGTAAAGTATATCGTATTACAAAAACTAGTAGGTATAAATTAAGTTCAAATTTTAATAGTATAATAAACTAAACTATTAATTATAATTTATTAAGATTTGATGTTGTATAATTCATTAGTTATTGAATCAAAATTGACCTGTGTATATTAATTTTATTGTGTACTAATTTTAATTTAAACTTTAAATTTGAAACTATTCCTGAAATACTATTCCTTTCATGTAAAGCTTGAAGTTTAATCTTTGTCGCGGTCGCGCTTTCCGTTGATGATCGCGTATACGACATGTTATCTCAGTTAATCAGACGAAATATGAAATATGCGCTCACCGTGCCACGACACTGTAAGGTGAGGGGATTTCCGGAGAAGCGGAGTTTCTCGAGACTGGCCATTGGTACAAGCTGGGTCGGTTCCAGACACGTTAAACGATTCTCTTTAACGTCGAGCCATTTAAGACCTCGCAATTTCTCGAAGACTGTAGGCTCGATCGATGCGATCAGATTGTATGATAGGTCTAATTGCTGTAGCGATGTCAGATCTACGAACCACTGATCTTTTATCGATTTGATGTAATTGTACTGCAAACTAAGCTTTTTCAGTTTCCTCAGATTGTCGAATGCGTGATCGGAAATTTCCTTAATGCCGCAGTCATGCATGTTTAGAGAAACTAAATTCTGACTGTATCTCAGGAACGACTGATCGGAAATATTTTGAATCTGCGATTGAAAGATCATGATGTCGTCCACGATCGGCCCGCCGGAAAATAGGGCAGTGTTCAACGTCACGTTGGAGCATTTTAGACGCTCGCCGAATCCTAGACATAATTAATCCTTCATTACTCGCGTGGGATGTCCAAGACGCCTTTGTCTTATAAATTTATTGGTGATTATGCAGAGTAAAGGACATCGCGTTGATGACCTTGACATATATTGCTTCCCTTTTCTAGATATTTGCCGGAAAGATATACTATTATACATAAATTAGACTTTTATGTTTAAAATATCTCAGAAACTATATAAGAGGCTTGCCACCTAATTGTTAACGCAAAGTTACTAGAATCATGACAACATATGTCAAAATTAAGGTCATCGGCGCGGAGTCCCTTATAATCTGCATAATTACCAATTTATTAAATTCATGAATGCTACTTACACATACAATATTATTATATATTTAACACAAATTGTTTCACAATTACAAAATTGTTTCCATTTATCTGTATTTAAAGAATATGTAAAATATTATCAGTTTTTATTTAATTTTCAATTTAATGAGAGAACATGAAAATTAAAATATAATATTAGAATATCAGAAACACTTTACAAGAGTAATTATGTTAAAGAAAATCACATGAATAATGTAGAGTTAAATAAAACTGACAATATTTATGAAAAATGGCGACACAAAGACAATGAGATCGGATAATCGATGACATTTATTAAATATTTTTCATCGTCTTACATCTAAAGACACGACAGCGTCTCGGCTTGATTCGATTTACACTGTACTGCTGTTTGTGCAGTTCACAATTTACTTAAGAATAAAACTATATCTTAATCTCACTATAGGTAATCGAAGCACGCGCGAATATCTAAACTAGAGAATAAGAGAAAGAGATTCTTTGAGGAATGGACGAGGAAACACAGACAAATCACAAAATATCGTAAAGTGCTTTACCCTCCTCGTGTTTGCTGGTGATGCATGCCGCGATTGCGGCATCTATCAAGATGAAAACGCAGACAAGAATGAGAAGCAAGACGCGGCACATCTTGAAATGCAATTTGCATGAGCGATTGTACGACTGACTCTTCATTGAAAACAGATACAGAATAATTGTGAACAATTCCTCCTTGTACACCGAATTATCACAGCCGAATTATCATACTTCCCGTTCTCTATAAGTGATACCACGCTATCGGTGAAACAGTTGTTACGCAAATATCTCGGATGCCATTCATGTGTTACGCTGATTGTAAAAGAATATCATTAATTGTCAATGTTATTCTATCTACGTCTCAGTCAGACGATGTAAAAAATCAGTCTTGTTTCAGAAAACGCAATCATAATTTACGCGTTAAATTCTACTTATTTATATTCCGTAGTAAAATACTGAAAAGTGATTTTAAAAATTCTATGCATATCTTATGATAAAAATATCCTTTTACCTTTTTTTTTTTCTTTTAAAGAAAGGAATGCGAATTCAAGGAATTGCCTCAAAATCTTAGTTTCTCGTTATTGTCATGTTCGTTTAATCTCTCGCTTGAGGCTAATCAATCCGTTCATAGTGCATTGCTGAATATACGTTGTTTTCTTTTTGTGCTAGGCATCTCGACCCTCGCGAGTTGCGGTGAGGTGGATGCGCTGCCTGAGCTACCGGCGCAAGATGAGGAACGTCTGCAGCGCGCTGCGCGTCTGCTGCAGCAGAGATTGGTGTTACGTCAATGGTTGATGGATCATGGCCTACATAATTACTATCAGAAGTAAGAAAAAGTATAAGCATAAATATTAATATAAAGAGTCCAATAATCATCGATGCGTTGAACGATTCGACTCTTTGTATACCTGATTGCATTATATATGCAGTTACGTAGGATCAAATATAAACGAAACTTTTTTAGGTGAATACAAATCAACGTTGATATTATAGTATTTATTTACATGTGTATATATTTACATTGAATGAGGTGGGGCTGTCTGCTCACGCTTCAGGCGATCTTCCAACTCACACAACGTGTGGACGTCTTTCGAACATCGATTTATATTCTCGAATGTCCCATTTATGTCCTTGTATTTCGAACGTCCTCGAGATTTCCAAAAGTTTAGATGTTATATAGTGGAATGTTCAGAACACAACCTTCGAACATCTCGAGAATGCAATGCGGGAACATAAATAGAATATTTAAGGATACAAATCGGATATCCGAAGGACGTTAACATTTTCGTTCACAAATTTTAATCGACCAATACATGAACTTAAAGAACAACGTTGTACAACAGCATTGTTTGTTCGGACATCGTAACGGCTACAGAAATAAATAACTATTGTGAGACTATAACTATGTAAGGGGCGAGAAAAACATGCTCCACCTGTCACTCAGTGTAATAAATATATCTACCAATATTGATTTGTATTTACACAAAAAAGTCTTTATTGTATTTCTGAGCCATCCTTGTGCGTAATTAAAAATAATTAAATTGATCGATTCCTGTTATCACATTTAAGGAGATCTGTTAGCAGATAATTATCTTTTCTTTTTCATTCGTCAATCTTCTTCTTCAAAAAAACCGTTTATGAGCCTTTACAGAATATTGTTCTATTCTAAATAAAGAAATGTTAAAAAGATTACGAAGGCATACTTTGTCAGGTTGATGCAAATGGAAGTTATGTCCCTGGAGGATGTATACTGGGTGGAAGACAATGCGGCACGGACAGTTCTCGGCAAGGATCTACCACGATGGATTCAAGCTAGGCAAACGTTACCTACTTCAAAGGAAGATTTGGAAACTCTCAAAGCGGATCTTTGGAGTGCTGTTGTAAAGAATAGCCAACATCAGGATGCTTGGACATGGGGTACGAATTCTTCTTTCTTTCTAATTCCGTAAAATAAAATTTTTCCCCCGGAATGAGAATTTATTTTCAGGAAATTGAATTATTCTACGTTAGCTATATGTTTGAAAGGCTTTTCAGAAGGATTAGAAAATTTAATAAAATGCACTGGAAACAGAAAAAAAGAAAATGGAGGTATTAAAACAGTTTTGCTGAAATATATAAAAATTAAATTATTAAATGTTCTCTCTTACGAGTGATTATCAGGAGATATTAATTCAACGCACAAAACTAACAAATAATTACTTTCTCTCTCCAGGTGGTATGCTGATAGTTTCCGTATCAGTGGCAGGGCTGGTTACCCTTGCTGCTATGACGCAGCCCGCTTTGGCACCCGAAGCGAAACACTCTCTTCTGCAATATGTCACAGGGAAATATTTATTACCGAGTAACTGCCGCGTTCATTTCGAGTGGGAAGAACCTCAGTTGGTCGGTGAAACAATGACTTTTACGGTCAAAGTAAGTAAATGATTTAAGCCACCAGAATCTTCTTTCGCGAATATTTATGTTCAGATGCGACAATTTCCGCCAGAAGAAAACATGCATGGGGAACTATGGATGCTTTCCAATGGGTATTTAACATATCTTAACACTAACGTATACTTTATGCGGAAATGCTCTGTTACTGGAAAACACTTCTTGCCATCTCCCATCATTGTGGGTGCCTTCCATTTAGTGACCCAGGTTGATACAAATATCGTTCTATCTTTGTTATTCAAGGAATGCAAAGAAAGATATTTGTGTGGACTTGTGTCACAAAAAATGGAAGGCACCCACATTGTCAGAGATGAAGTTAAAATTCTGTGTATAATTTGTTCCCCTATAACCAAACGTGTCAGCATGTTAATGTATGCTATAATATCAGCGCACTATGCAAATACTATTCCATCCGCAAAGTTTTGCTATCTAGGTATATATACATGCGCGCGCGCGCGTGTGTATACAATTTATTTAAGATATTTTATTACCAAAGCTAAATATGTGATAAAAGTCATAATAATTTTTAGCTCAATTAGATATAAGAATATTTGTTTATAGTTTTATCAGCGCAATGGCCAGCCGTACCCAATATGTGACAAGGATAATTTGATTGTGGATGTAACAGAGGTTACACGCAGAGTAGCTACACTAATAGAACTAGGAGGTACCGACCCCTTAGCTGCAAATACTGCAGTAGTAAAGTTTACTGTCCGCCATGCGGGACAATATCGAATAGCTGTACTTATCGGATTTTGTCATGTTCATGGCAGCCCGTTTGTTAAGAATTTTCTTCCTGGTATGTATATTCGATACTGATGCGTTGTAAAGTAGTACTCAATAGTGTAACAAGAATATATGAATTACCAGCCCTTGTGGTGATATATAAAGATATCTTTTAAAAATAGAAGAAACAATTGTTTTTAAATTGCGATTAGAAATAGAAGTTGGTATTTTCTGTTAAACTTTAAAAATGCAAATGACAGATAAAATTTTTCAAGCAGCCTTTTCGCTAATTTATAATTTATTTGAAAATGACTAATCTTATATACAAATAAGATATATTTATTGTTCAAAATATGATATTTCTAATAAAAAAAATTAGGTATCTCCTTTAGCATTTTGGATGAGCAAAAATTGATTCATAATTAATCGAAAAATTAACGCTAATTAGTTAAATCTAGAACGCATCGTTCTTTAGTTGCGATCGTGTCGTAAAGTATATCGTCTGTACTAGGTCCACCAGATCCAAATAAGACAGTTTTTGTACGACAAAGTTCTACAGTCGTATGTACAGCTGGGATAGCCCATTTGATGACAATAGAGCCACGTGACGAATATGACAATCTGTGCATATTTGGGCCTGGAGATCAGCCTACGGAAGGCTATAGTGTCAATATTACTCAGGTAAATCAGAAAATTTCGCAAAAATAAAAAATCTTGATGTTTATGCTTAATCGATTATCCAAATCTATCTTTAGATCGGTAGTACAGCAGATAAAGGATCGATGGTAGACTATAGTATTCAACTCAATTACGATTCTTCAAACCAAAGAATTCGTTTAAAAGTGAGCTTTCCAAAAAGTGGATGTTATCATGCAACTGTTAGCTTGGCAGGATTGCAGTTGCATAATGGAGATTTTGATATCATCGTTCTCGAAAGTATGTAAAATATTTTAGTTTCAAGCTTAGATATTTTTCTTTTACATAATGAGGCTCGTGTATTGCGCTCTTCTTCTCATTTCTAGATTCTGTCGCGAGAATGGTACATAATAATGTAGCGTCTAAGGATCCCGACATCTGTTATGTTGCGAAGTTACTAGGCATGCAAGGAGAAAGATTTTCTAAACCTAAGAAGGTCTTCTGCTTTATCTCGCCTAAGCAACTTACGATTAAGGAATATTTATTGAAATTCATTCCCAAAAGACTCGTAACATTTAGACTATGTCCTTCGACAAAGGTATGGTATAATCATTAAAAATAATTTTACATGCGCAGCAATTTTAATCTATTAGATTTGTGATTTCTTAGTTTTGAATTGTAAATTGCAGTTCCATTTTGAAAGTTCGACCAATCAGCACGAGGGATATTATTCTTTCTCGATAGACGACGGATGTCAACCTCCCGTAGAACTAATATCTCTGTATCGTGATATAATAGCCGCCACTTTCACTTTGTTTCTCTTAAAAAACATCGGCGGTAGTGAAACATTCGCTGACAAACAAGATTTTTTCTATCACGAAGTCCGCAAGCACCATCAGAAGCATTATCACGAGAAACTTTCCATGAAAGTGCAGCGTGATAAGTTTTTAGAATCGGTAAATGTATAATTAAATTTATAATACATATCCCTGAAGATCCACCTAAAAATCTATATCAATAATGTGTTTTTCTTTTATTAAAAGTCTATGAAAGCTACGAAAGGATTTTCAGTGAGTGATTGGTGTCGAAATTTTGAAATCACTTTTCAAGGCGAACAAGGTACGTTTCGTTTACGTTTAAGGAACTTTTGTGAAAATTAATTTTAAGACAATTACAAGACTCATTGCCTCATGTTAGGCGTTGATTGGGGTGGTGTGCGACGTGAATGGTTCGAATTGATATGCGCCGCACTATTCGACCCCGGGAATGGTTTGTTTGCGTCATTTGGGGAGTCGCAACAGGCATTAGTGCATCCAAATCCCAAACGACCATCGCATCTTAAATTGAAGCACTACGAGTTTGCTGGACGTATCGTGGGCAAGTGTCTTTACGAGTCGGCGCTCGGCGGCTCTTATCGTCAGTTGGTACGCGCACGATTCACCAGATCATTCCTCGCACAGATTATAGGACTTAGAGTGCATTACAAGGTAATTCATCAAATTTCTTTTCTATTTTTACGCAAAAAATCAATAACTGATAAAGTATAATAGATAACTCAATTTTTTTTATGGACTAGTATTTTGAACAAGATGATCCTGATTTATACTTGAGTAAGATAAAGTATATTCTTGAGAACGACGTTGAAGAAATGGAATTGTACTTCGTTGAAGAGGAATATGATAAGGATGGACAATTATTGAAGGTACATGTCTAATGATGTTACTAATTGATGTTAATCTTCGAATATTTTTGTTTCGAAATAAAATCGTTAATATACAATTCTTTTTATGTGTTTTCTATACATTAAGTTTAGAAATAATATAAAATTCTATCTCTAAACTTAATACATAGCCGAAATTTAATGCATATCTATGATTAACACGTTTTATGTAGGTGGCAGAATTAATTCCTGGTGGTAGCAAAGTTCGAGTGACTAACGATACGAAACTTCGTTACCTGGATGCACTCGCTCAGCACCGACTTGCTAGTTCCATCCGCAACGAAGTCGACCACTTCTTGCGTGGTCTTAACGAACTGATTCCCGATAATCTCTTAGGCATATTTGATGAAAATGAATTAGAGGTGAGTAAAATTAAAATACATAAAAATAAGTCTGTCCGAAGATGGCACTCTGCGACTTTATTTCTTTCGCAGTTGCTATTGTGTGGGACTGGCGAGTACTGTGTGGAAGATTTACGTGCGCATCACATAGCTAACGGAAGTTCTCTGGAATTTCTTCGAGTACTCGACTGGTTCTGGACGGCGGTGAGCAATTTTACGCAAGAGGAAATGGCACGATTGCTCCAGTTCACTACGGGTTGCTCACAATTACCGCCTGGTGGATTTCAACAACTAAGCCCTCGTTTTCAGATTACAGCTGCACCAACGTTTGCTAATTTGCCTACAGCACATACTTGGTACGTTCTCATCTTGCAATATCATTAGAATATTCGTGTTTTTTTTATCATTGATTCGTTATTAATATTGTTTTTCAGCTTTAACCAACTCTGCTTACCTGATTATGAGTGTTATGATCACTTCGAACGAGCGTTGCTGTTGGCAATTAGCGAGGGCACCGAAGGTTTCGGCATGATCTAACCGGGAAAGTCCGAAAATTCATCAAACTTCTAGTCTAACTAGAACCGTCGATTAAATTATTTATGTATCCATTTTTTCGATAGTTGAACCCATTCTTGATGGGTAAAAAAATCATGTTTTCGATAATAGATACTATTAAGAGTCCTACAGTTTATCTCATAGGAACTCCTTACTCAGTAAGATCAGAAATGAGAGTAACTCGCACATTTTTATATGTAGACTTTTAAAATGTTTGGAATTACCTTTTTTCTGTTAGAAGACTATTCGAAGACTATCAGGAACAATCTAATCTTCCGACGATGTAGACAATTTCTACTGACAAGCAGCAACGTTTTTATAAAACGGAAAATATCCAGCAAGAGCAATGTTACCTCAACATCAGAATTGCTCAATATTACTGTATCGAAATTTAGCGTAGCCGAACTTATGATAGATTTTACGTAAACGTAAAGAGAATTAAATAACGCGTTTTTCAAATAACAGTGTAACAGATCGTCGATGTATAAAAATATACCATACAACAAATCAAAATACATATAAGTAATGTTCCTTTTTTTTTGTAGTAACTATTTTGTAACATAATATTATGCGTGTAGAGGTATATTTGATGAAGGGATCACTGTAACAGCACTGAACGTTCCGTTATTCAGTATTAATTGAAATACATTCTGTCGTATAATGCAGGGGATATATAATTTTAAAATAACTTATGAAGAACGATGAAAAATAAGATTAATGTATTAAAACTTTGCGTTAGTTCAGTTTCTTCGTTTTCTCTTGTAATAATAGCACGGCGATAATACGGTATTTTCAACGTCGACGATGACGTATGTAATATAAGCTAATTAGTATGTACAAAATATCATTGTATTCTGAGGCACTACGTATTACATCTATTTCTTATCGACGCGAAATACTCGCAACATAATAAGCATGATTACCTAGTCATAACGAAGAAACTATGATCGTATTGGTATACGTATTTATTTAAGATGCAATGTACTTATATTAAGTAGAAAAGGAATAGTATGAAACGTAGTAATCGCCATAGCAGACTATTCGTTGCGAAATAATGAACGAATAGCAAACGATTATAAACCGTATATTACGCGCCTCGCAATAGCAAGAAACTTAACAGCCTCGCCAGATTATCTACCATCAAATAAAACTAACGGTAATTTATTTTTATCAGTTTATCATTACGAAGGGAAATAAAAAGTATAGATTAAAAAAGCATATAATATTTACATTTATTCAATAAATTCCGTTACACTCTCCACCTATTATGTATAGCTCCTTGCTTTCGCTATTTATGAAAAATAATAATTTATATATTATAATATAAATCAAAAATATCCACAGGACGTAATAAAATCGCTTATTCTGGTTATAGTATATGTAGTGTTAAACGTATACATAAAATTCTATTTCTCAAAAATTATATATTGATTAAAAAAAATTGTAATGTTTTTTTAAATGTAGAGTATGAAATGCTGATGTCTATCAATCTCTCTACTATCCTGCGAGCGTTTATCCTTGCCCGTTTTTGACCATAAAATACCCTCCTCTTCAGACCTAAGTCATTTGCATCAAACGAACAGTACTTCAATTCGGTTCCGTCTGATTAAAACCAGCTTATGTCTCGGAAAATTGTGATCACGCTTAAATTTCTTAATCTGCGAGATATATTGATGTAATAATGTTATTTTTATTACGATTCCATTTTTCTAATCGAATCTTTAATATGTTTACACCGAGGAGGAGATAAGTAAAATACTTATTAAACCTCAATGAAATTTTATGTTAATCTTTGTTTTAGTCAAATGTTACAGAGTCGCAAGTCGTAAAAAATTAAGCAATCATAGTCGATTTTTTTTCATATTCAACTGTGATTGTTCAATTGTTTACGACTTGCAATCCTATTGTAGAACAGGTTTTAAAGAATACAGACAGCCTCTGTGTATTCAAAAATTGGAATATAAAGGTCCTAGCCAGGAAGTAAGATATAAGGAGACTCCACTCCGTAAAATAAAAGTGGACCCATTTTAGGTTTCGAGTTCAGCTTCCGATTCTGATGAGTGCGAGTAAGAGAAATGATCATTTCTCTTACTCGCACTCATTATGCGCAGCACTACTAAATTCACGAGCGCTGCGAGTGTCGAGAATCGGAAACGGAACTCGAAACCTAAAATGGGTTCATGTCTTGTAGACTGGCGAGACCGAGTGGAGTCTCCTTATATCTTCCTTCATGGCACATAAAAATACCTGAGACGTAAACCTATATGTATAATAAAGGTTTTTAAGTATTAAACCATAAGAAATGGCCGAATCATCACAGTCAATTATTCTTCCTCGAATTGAACTGTAATTGATTAATTTCTTACGACTTAAAACACCTATTCTACAGAGACTAGGAACAAGAACAGAGAATAAGAATTTCAACCTATCTAGAAACTGTATTTCATAATGCAACCTTTCTGATTGGTTGAAATTCTTATTCTCTGTTCCTTGGTTGTGCGCATCTTTAAGGAAATCAATATGTTGAAGTTGCTATTGCTCACGTTATGATCTGTACTGTGATTGGTCAATTCGCTTATTGTTTACGTCTTACGTCTTAAATTTTTCTATGTACCATGACCGTAAGACGTCTTATCGTCGACATAAAATAATAACGCGGAACAAGAAGAAAGTCCTGCGTCCTCTTAATTGTTGCAAATTGGAAATCATAGCTGTGATAAAATACCTATCTACGGCAGCAATGGCAGAGTAGCACTGGATAAAAACGCGAATGTCCGTAGGATAGATACGCGCATGATGCTCCCAGCGATTTGCACTATCCGATTCCAGCCACCCTCTTGAGATTGTCGCAGTAATTGATCTCTCAGCTCATTTAATTCCATCCTAACAGAATGCAATGATACAAAAAATATCGTATGGTGTCACAGGAAAAAGCGATTTCTTTTCTTTTCTTTTAAATATCTTACATTTGTGAATGATATTCCATTTCAACGCGGCGGAGCTTAACTTCTCGATCAGTTAACTGATTCTCCAGAGAAATCGTGCGTAATTTCAAAGTTTTTGCATTACCTTCGCTAGCTTTCAAATATTTTTCCAATCTTTGTCTCTCAGCTATTGCGGTTTGCAGCTCCCTATAATTATACAAATGTTATTTTTAAGATAAATGAAACTCTTAAGTTCCAGCGCTCAAGGTGTTTTTAATTTGAAATCTGAAAGCTTATAAGTATACCTAGAAGTACACTGAAGCTGATCCTGCGCAGACTCGGCGAGAGATACCTGTGATACTAATTGCAATTGTAACTCTTCGATGGCAGATTCCGCTTTTTCCACTCTGGCATCACGTTCTGTCGCCAATACCTCGCTGACTGATATCTAAACAAATATATAACACTTGTTATAATAGAGCTTTATATCATACAACATACATCCTTATTATAATCTATTTATTTATAGAATAAGAATATGTATCTATATATGATATATATAACTTTTATATATTATATTATAAATCCTAGTATATAATATCCTAGTAAATTTTTTTTTACTATAATTATGTAATAATTATAGTTTTGCATAATTATATATAACTGTTTATATATAATTATATATGGAAAATTTTTTATCGGAATTGAATTTTTCAAATTTTCAAAAGCGATGCTTAGTGCTTTATTTGCAAATTGTTCGGATAATTTTGTAGTTATTTTTATTATTAAAAAATGTGTGTGTGGGATAATTCTACGATTTCTCAGTCAGATTTTTCGCAGAGAGTCGCTGCTTTCTTACCTACATAAACATCTTTTATGTTATCATGAAATTTATGATAAGATACACAATTTATGAATAACTATGTATTTGTGCTAATTGCAAATTTCTGCGATATCCCACGATTTCGTGTAGATAAAATAGTTAATAGAGCAAGTGGTATTGATCCTTCTTCCTGGTACGGAAGGAGTATTACATGATATTGAGTCACCCAAACGCGAAAAGTGTGACTCATCCGTAAGCTATATTTCTTTCGTCGTGCATTGACCTGACGCTAGCTTCACAAGTGGATTCTAAGATCTTTAAAAAATGGTGGGTGACACTCGCAGTAGCCTAAGCTAAATGTATTAGCAACACGTATTATTAATTTATGTCAAACGCAAAATTTTACTTTTTTTAAATAATTCTAAATGTTTTTCTACTATTTAAAAAACGTAACCCCATTTAAGGATTTAATCTTCAACAGAAAAATCCATTAAATAAATAACTGTTATTAAGAATTCGCAAGAATATATTGATTTAACAACATCGTTTTTAACAATTGCGCGACAAACCGATGCGACGCGGTTATATGACGTGTGGAAATGTCCATGATGTAAGAATAAGGGATATGTACTTAATGATGCTATCGCGCTCATTTAAAGTTATAACATCTTTTTTTTTCTTTACTTTGCCGCCCTAGTTGCAATGATTTAGCCTAGAAGCAATTTAACGAAAAAATAAATTCAGATTGGTTGCTTCGATCTCACTACCCTTATGCGAAACGAAACATCGGTATTCTTACATTTACATCATAGAGAGGTCCAATTTCCAAAGGGAAGGGTAAAGAATAAACAAAGAATGAGTCAGTTGGTTCGTAGAACGCGAAAGCAGTATGCGCGTAAAGCTCACGCGTGGGAGAACTTACCCCCAACCCAAGAAAGAGGAGAAGGGTTACAACTATGTCTCGGACGAGGGTAACAATGACTCACCGAACGACATATCAATTTTTTATCACAACTGCACGATTATTCACGTGCGCATGGTCAGGAATCGTGAGCAATGGCTCACTGCAGAATGTCGCTTGAAGATTAGAATTATTGATTAAAAAGAATTGAGAAATTGCAAGAAATTATGACTTCCCTTGAAATAGTTTTGTAACGGAAAACTTAACTCAGAATTAACCGAACAATCCTAAATTATAAAAAATGTGTCGTTCTTGAGTTATATTATAATAAAAAATTTTTTACCGGATATAAGTATATATATATATATATATATAAAATTCTCAAAATAATATAATAATAATAAGCTGTGTGTATCCACAAACACACTGCGTAAAGACATTATTATTATATTATTGTATTTTGAATCATGTCCCCCTTCCCAGGAAAAATTCTGTGAACGCCTTTGAATATATTTAATGAGAGATCCATAGACAACTAATTATTAATTTTAAATCGAAAGAGAAAATGCAACTTTATCCAGGAGAATTCTCTTATCTTCCCGTAATTTCAAGAATTTCTCTCGATCCTTCGTCATTTGTGCGTCGAGCGCCTTTAGCTGATCCTGCGCGGTCAAGAGCTCATTCTTCAAATTTCCCACAGTGACCGATCGCTCTTGGGAGACTTCCTCAGTGCGCTTGAGCTCCATTTCTAACTTTTCTTTTTCCTGCAACAAAATACGCAAAATGCAACTGCATTTACAATTTATAAACAATCTAATAAGATGATAATGTATATATATATGTAATACAGACGATACAAATTATAATACGTATTATAATACAGATGATACAGATTTCGTAAAGATTTAAATCGTCTGGATATTAGATTTTTTTAAAACAGGTCTTCTTCAGTGAGTACAGGGTGGACAAAAGAAATACAATGATTAAGTATAAAGTTAAAGAAGATTCGTCGTGTTATTGTCTCAATTCATCTTTTCGCGAAGAGTCTTTTTATGAAAAGCCAACAGATTGTATAAAATTGGAAATCCATATAGAATAATGTAGATATAGCTCTCGTCCCTTTCAGACAAAGTCCAAAATCGGAACATCTTACAGACGTCAATACATTTTTTTAAATTTACATTTAAAAGAAGTTCTTAATAACATCTTCAAAATATTTTAGGTATCCCGATTTTGGATATATGCTGTCTAAATTAATTATTTTGTGAAGAAAGTTGAAAATGTGGAACTATACAATTTTTTTTTCAAAAGCTAGCAAAGTGTCTATACATATACCGTATTTTTTCTATTTTGACACTGTTTACTTTTTTCATGAAATAATGAATTTCCTTAAAGGTAGCGCAAAGGTAGAGCAAAGATTTTTTTCCTCTACCTTTAAGGAAATTCATTATTTCACTCTATTTCTCGCCATAATATTAAAGGTTGTGCTCACAAGTTCTCAAGAAGCAATCATGAGACTGACGGATTAGCCCTACCCTAATTCCTATAAATTTAGTCAGACGATTATAGCACTCGTGAGAAATGCATATATATTTTTCCATCAAAATTGCCTATCGCATATCGCAGGAACATGTGTCGCATTCTCGCGATGACACCATTGCCATAATTAGAAACATGTCATTGAACTCCCGTGTTTGTTTTAGTAAGAGAATGACGCATTAGAAACGCAAAATGCGAATGCAGAACTTTAGAGAGCTGATGGGTTTCTCTTCATCGCGATGGCGAATGTTTAACAAATTTCATTTCGTGAATTTCTTTTTTTAAAAGCTTGTTCTAAAAACAGCTTTTCATTGTTTAAAAGAGTTCTAAAAAAAAAAAAAAAAACAAGACTCGGATATTAATGGATCAAAATTGGACGAAACAATCAAAACGGAGCAAAATACAATTTAAGGAATAATTGATCGATCATACCGATCTGATGGCGTCACGCTGGCACGTCATCTCCTCGAGTTGTGATTTCTCGCGATGTAATTCGCTATTCAGTCTACCGACCCGATTGTTCTCGGCGAGCAGCAATCGGCGCAGAAACTCGATCTGCAGGTGCAGGTGTTCCACCTGTTGCTCCAGCTGCGCGATCTCAGCACGTCTACGTCGCCACGCATTCAGCAGCAGCACGCGACACACTACGTTCGCCGCATTGATCGTCGGGTCCTTGATTAGACCGGCAGTTTCACTCTGCTCGGATTCCGAAGACGGCGTAGCGTCCGTCCAGGATCTGCCACTGCAATAGGCACTCCCGCCATTCGTCAAGATATCCTTGCTCCTGTCGGCGATTTCGTCAAGACGACTGGCGGAAGACTCGCTCTCTGATCTAAACGATACACTCTCCGATTAGATCAATCAGATCGCACTTTCTTAACCCTAGCTATACACATTGAGGTCTCAGAAACCCCAGTGCAATTTACTAAATCGAGATTTTTTCTGAACTTTTCTTTGAACTTATATATTATATCTCGAAGTTTCCTAGAATTCTATCGACTTTTATACATTATAGACTTGTACCTTAATCAATTCTCCATCGATTGAAAAAAATTAATTAAAATCTGTCCATTTTTACAAAAATTATACGTAATTAAGGTAACAAATATTATATAGATAGAGTCCCAGGAACCAGAAAGTATATCTCAAGGGTACAAAAAAAAGTGTATGATTAGGATTAATAATTGGAATGATGATCATTACTATGAGATAGCATGAAACGTCCCAACAATATTATGAATTTTTCAATATTCATGAATTAATAGGTTCGTTTAACCAATCACAATAAAAAATGCGATCTCACGTTTTAAAACGCTCGAATGTTATCGGCTAATTTGCTTGCCGCCTTACGTTTACGTCTAAAATTTTTGTACATGTAATGACCTTAATGATCTCTCATTTTTCATACTTATTGTTAGTGATAGTCCGATATATGTTTAGTGTCGCGGCTATAACACACAGAGAGAATTTTTTCTTAGAGTTTACCCTGAAAATATGGTAGTCATGGGACAATATTGTATTTCAAAGAATTTTATATATGCAAATCTCTTTCATTCACTAATAAAATTACAATAAAATAAGTTTGATTAATTTTACTGAAGTGCACATGGTAAAAATCTTTAGAATATTGTATTGTATCATAACTATCATATTTTCAGGATAAATTTTAAGAGAAAATTTTCTATCCATGTACATGAACATAAAACGCACACACTGTTTAATAAATATTATGTATTTTCGGTAATTTTGATGTACGGGAGAGAATAGAATAATTGCGAATACCTAAGGAAAAAGTTGAATAGAGCAAGTTCAACAAACCATGAGTATAACTGTTACATATAACATAGATGTAAATGATATATATATATATATATTTATATATATCATATAGCAGTTATATCTGTGTTTACTAGAAGATTTGATTATTGTAACTTAAAGATAAATAACTGGAGTATCTTTTAAATGAACACATTGATTAATTGATAAATAATTGGCAGCTTTATTTAATTTTCCCCTTGGGTTTTTGTTCGCAATTCTCTCATTCTCCTCTAATATTGCAATATTTGTCCTTAATAAGAAATCAGCTCACTTGAGATCGCCGATGTCGGGATCAACAACAGGCAAGGATAAATCCATCATCGATAGACTCTTTTTGCAACAAGGACTGGCCAGGAAATTGGGCGAACATCGGTCGGTGTGGCTTTTGGGAATTGTCGTTGAAGTATTCCGACCAGTCCTACTAGTCACCGACAATCCGACCGCCAATCTGTACGATCTCTTGGGTATGCGATAATCGGTGCATCGGTATGGGCTTGATCGCGGATGACATCTTACGGACGCGGAGACGTCCGGTAATTTACGTTGCATGCATCGGGGCAACTTGGTCTCGACTCTGGCGATGGTCGCGAGTCGCGCACCCGGATTCCGTTTTGACAGGGTAATCGTTTCTGGCATGTCGCTTGCAGCTTGCACATAAAACTGTCCTCGAACGCAATTGAGATTGTTTATATACGCACCTCTCGTCATAGAGACGAAACACGGTTGCTGCTGGGAACAAATGACTATAATTTTTCTATTAATCTTCAATTTGTTCTTTATCTTTTTCTAGTTCTAAAAATTAGAACAGTCAATTAAACCGAGATTTTAAAGTATAGTTAATCTCCATTGATGAAAACGGGCATAAGAGATATAAAATAATTATTAGTGTGTTCGAAATTGTTCTCTGTATTTTGTGTCCTTGACAGACACTTGTAGATTTTGTAACATAGATTTCAATGTCTTGATGATAAATATAAAATTTTTAATTAGAAAAAAAATTAATAGATATAATTTAATATAAAATTTTTTGTTCGTTATCGCAGTGACATTTCATTACCTTGGTAAACTTTCGGTGTAAATAAAAAATACGCGTGCGCGCGAATTCTTAATTAAAGATGTTAGATAATAATTTACAATCAAATCCAAAATAAATTTGACTATTGTTGTAGAGCAAAAATATGAAAGAAACAACATTTATATACATATATATATATATATATATGTATATATGAAGCTTTATCGAAATATTATTTTAATATAGGTCAAATATTTTATGTAATATTTATGACAAGTTTTTTTTACTTTAATTAATGTCTTATTAAGTATTTTCATAGCATTAATTTACGCAACAACATTAAAAATATTTCATATAATACTTACAATAAATGTTTATGATTTGTGCAAGTCAAGACCACTAAGAAATATTTACAAAAAGTATTTAAAAAAATGTCTTGTATAAATAATATTGTGTGAATGTGGATGTGCTCTGTCTGGGTATACACAAATTTCAATTTCAAATGGAATAATTTCATCCTTATTGTTTATCAAACGTTGAACAGAGGCAAATAATGCTCGTTACGAACAAATAGAACATATTCTAAGTACAAGATCAGACTATAAGTATCTTCCCCAGGGGTACCTCACAATATCGTGACAGTAGGATATCTGCTGGATTTTGATTACGCCGCGCGCAGACCGTACCGGATCAGAAATCTCTTATTCATCCTCTCGCTCCCTTCGCTTTCATACGTCGTCGGTCGGTCGGTCGGTCGATCAGTCAGCCAGTTGAGGCAGCTCAGCCTGAGTCAGTCGCTAGTATCATCCGGTCGGTTGTTCTCACGTCACGGTCTCGCGGATCGAGTACGCAGAACGCAGGCAGCGCAATTAACAACAGTTAACTCGCGCGGGGCCATAATCATCTACCATCGTCCGGCCATCTATCATCAATCGTGCGGAGCATCGGAACTACGAATACTACGATTCCGCATTGCACTCCACCTCCGGCTGTTTTTCTCCCATCTGCGCGCCGTGATTTCCTGCGCGTATAGTGAAGGAACTCGGACCTCTCATTAAGACCGCACGTATTTCGCTGCGTTCACGACTCATCGACACGAACAACGCTAAGCCTCTCAAGAGTATATATAGCATGTTGATTTGTGCAGCAGGCAAGTCTTCGTCTCTCTTTTTTTCTTATAGTCACTCGCGTATGTACTCTCTTTCCCTCTCTCTCTCTCTCTCGTTCCCATCACATTGTCCTACGATAGTTTAATTATAGATACGCAGCCTGTACGGGATTAGGCTCGCCTAAAATAATGATTGAATCAGCGTTGCGTCCTTCTTCGTGCTCCTTTTTCCCCCGGGACACTTGCGTGCAGTGTTTCTGGATATACCCCCGCGAATACAAACGTGTGGAACAAACAGCTGTCGTTCCGGGATCCTGAAGTTTTACCTGGAAATCGCGTTTGTCTTCCCAGTTACTCGTAGATGCTAACTCGAATATATGTTTGCAACATCGCTACTTGCCACTCATACATTGTAGTGTATGAATTCAGTTTAAAGTATTGAAACTGTATTAGGAGAAAGGAACGCTGATCTAAAAAGATTACTGAAGATATGTAAGATGTATAAGATGTCATGAACATTCTCATTAAAATTTGTCTTAAGTTATTCAGCAATTTGAGTATTTGAACTTATTTTTATTGCTAAAACAGAAAAATTTAAAATACTGTTTTAACTGTATATAAGACTATTTAACCAATTGGTGCATTTGCAATTACATTTCAGATGGACAAAGTTCAATATATTAAAGATTCACAGACATGGAACAATTCAATGGCATAAGTGATGGAGATATTAATATAAGTGATATCAGTAAGTCTATTGAGCACATGTTTTATATTATAATATAGCTTTGTATAGTTGTGTGATGTCTACTATTTTTAGTTGACGTCATTCAAACCACTGATCCTGATTCTATGGCTACCATAGTAATGGACAGCGAACAGCCACGTGTTGAAATTTTAGAACAACCAGCTAGTAAAGCGCTGCGGTTTCGCTATGAGTGCGAAGGCAGGTCAGCTGGCAGCATACCAGGTGTCAACAGTACACCAGAGAACAAAACTTTCCCTAGTATACGAGTAAGTTGTTGTCGTCCAGTCATGCTTTGAGTCTTCCTTTCTTCTTTCTATATGCTTATAATATTTCTGTAGATTGTGGGTTATAAGGGTCGTGCTATGGTAGTTGTGTCCTGTGTAACAAAGGATGCCCCCTATAGGCCTCATCCACATAATCTTGTGGGCAAGGAAGTATGCAAGCAAGGTGTTTGTACAGTAGAAATTCCATCGGGAAATATGGTTGTTACTTTCTCAAATTTAGGCATTCAATGTGTAAAAAAGAAGGACATTGAAGAAGCTCTTAAAATGCGTCAAGAGTTACGAGTAGATCCTTTTCGAAGTATGTGTGATTTTTTCATTTATATATACATGTTATAATATTTTTCCATTAATTTAGACAAGTCGATTATGAAGAGCTAAATTATTACAGCTGGTTTCGAACATAAGAGACATCCGACTAACATAGATCTTAATGCAGTGAGATTATGTTTTCAAGTTTTTTTGGAAGGATCACAGAAAGGAAAATTTAACAAGCCTTTAGCGCCCATTGTGTCAGATCCTATTTATGATAAAAGTATGTAACATTATGTGCCATAAAAAAAAAAAAATTTTTTTACATGCAGTAATTCATTATAATTTTTCCATGCTATTATCTTTTAAATTATTCATTTCTTGGGAAAAGTTTCAAGTAAAACTGACTCTATTCGAGAGAGACATCTTATAATGGGCATGCATTTTTTTCTAGGTAAAAGTATTACTGAGATTTCAAAGAGACTTTTATTGTCTTTAATGAAACAGTATCCTTTTTTTTTAATGAGTCATCAATAAACATTCAAAGAATTCACTCGAAAATTTATTGTTAAGAAAATTATTGACTGTAAACAGTTGTAGATGATTTTGAATGACCAACATACCATAAGTCAATGAATTCAAAGTAGGCTACATACCTAATTAAAAAAATATTGTTTTTGATTTAAAAACAGAAAGATCTCTTTGAAATCTTCAGTGATATCTACATTTAGAAAAAAAGTATATGTCTGTCATATAAGACTTTTTCCAAAACAGTAAATTTTATTTGAAATTTTTTCGAGAAATAATCACATGAAAAGATTATAATGGGTCAATCTGTATCTTTACAGAATAAAATTTCTACTTACGATTACGTTTCAGAGGCAATGTCAGATCTTGTGATTTGCAAGTTGAGTCACTGCAGTGCACCAGTCGCTGGCGGCATAAATATGATTTTGCTGTGTGAAAAAGTCGCGAAGGAAGATATACAAGTGAGATTTTTTGAGGAGAGAGATGGGCAGTTAATCTGGGAAGGATATGGCGATTTTCAACCAACACATGTACATAAGCAAGTAAGTTAACAATGACAGATTGTATATGTAAACTTTGAATAGTTGCAACACAATAGTAAAGAATGTGATTCGCTAGTCTGTACTATATTATCTGTGTCGATATTGTTCTTTGTAGACAGCAATAGCGTTCAGAACGCCTAGCTATCGTACACAAGAAGTGGAACAACCGGTACAAGCGTTCATCCAACTTAGAAGGCCATCGGATGGTGCTACGAGTGAACCTCTACCATTTCAGATGTTACCACTAGGTACAGGTAGGCCTGCTTTCTGGTCTTTACGGAAAGCGTTTGCCAGGAAGAAGACAGAATACAGTACCTTCACTAAAATCTTGTCTGCGGAAACTGCTCTTTTTGACAACGTAGCTCCTAAGTTTTCTCGTAATATCGACGAATTCAACAATAATGATCTAAACACGAAAAAATTAAACAGTAAAATCTCTGCATTGCGCGCTTTAAACGATTTGTATAATGTAAAAAATCACGTAGATCTATGTAATGGCGATTTAAAGGCATTAATAAATTCTGCACAAAATGTAGAACAGCCCGCGAAAAGTGCTGTTTTAAATTATGAGAATAACGAAACGATAATCCCGGGAATAAACGCGGAAAGTAATAGGGAAATTAGCAAATTGTATATTCTTGGTGATAGTAATGTAGAGAATAATGCATTTAATTCCGAGTATAAAGAAAGAATTGTCGATGCGACACCTTGTGTGAAATCCAACGCACAAGAAAACGGCACGTCCGTATTAAAAAGCGTCGATAATTCGAAGGATAGATCAGATTGGTTCGATTTTGAAATAGGCAAATGGGTGCAGAAGGGACAAGTGTGCCTTAAGGAGAAAAATAATGAGACGGAATTTAAAAATGAGACAGGTGGTGACAGTAGACCATTTAATGAATTTTTATCGCAAGTAGCTGAGCTTGATCAAATATATGCCGATACGCATAACAAGTTGGTACAAGCAGTTGCGGAAACCAAGGTCAATTCACAAATGATGGACATTGATGTCTGTGACAATCAAACTTATACCAGTTTACAAATGGCTATGAAAAATCCGGTAGAGTTGTTCGATATTACCGATGATAGAAAGTACGAGGACGTAGCCGTCCCGACACAAGATGCGGAAGTACCCGTTGCGTCTCCAACATTAACAATTAAGAGAGATGTAATGCATGAATCGGAGGAGAGATTGCCACCCTTGCCCCCCAAGCGAATACGCAAGATGCCATCAATGCCACTTTTGCCGCGTCCAATATCCGCTCAAACTCTCACTACCTCGCTCACCAAGGCACCGAATAAGGATTTACCGTCCTTACCCGGTACTTTATCGAAAAACGCTAGGCAAGGGTTATTTTCAAAATTATTTGCTAAAAAAATTAAAAAAGACAAATGCTTAGATCTAAGTAGAGATAATGATCCGTCATTGAATATCTCATATTTATCAAGGACTTCTGTGCAAGATGTTGTACAATCACAAATTCCACGTCCTAGTATGACGAGTGTTAAATCTCTTAAGCTAAATGACGATGAACCACCGTATGGTGTAGATTTAACTGAGGCAGAGCACTATGCTCTGTATACTACTATGGCACCACGCGCGACTGCCTCAGAATTTGATGAAATGTCTTTTTATTATAGTCTAGTTGAGGATGGGAAGATACTGACGGAAACAAAAGAGACCTAAACTATTCGATAGATTTTTGTCTATTTAATATTTTTTTTGTTTGTATACTGCCAAGTTGAAGATGATTTAATATTTGTACATGAAATGGTATTATGTTTGGATCTACCGATTTTCAGTCTGCCGAAATGCGAGGAATATTGTCTTGCATTACAGCTATAAACTTTTACTGTCGTTAGCTATTGTATATTTACAGTTTTGACGTGACATTCATTTAAGAATGTAGTTGTACCTTTAAACCAAAGATTTTTGCAAAGAAAAATCGAGAATGATTTCCTTGAGACATGTTGCCACGTAAAATGATCGATTTTTGTAAGATCGACGCATTTACCTAGGTGTGCAAAATTCTAGTCTAATCTAAGTGCAATTCGTTAGTTTTTCCTTAATGTTTCCTATTACCAATTTTTACAAATAATTTGTAAGTTTTCGATAATTGTTATTTCTTATTAAATAACTAACTCTTTTCTAGTCAAGTTTGATGCTGTGTATTTTCTTATACTCTTATTGTACGTTGCTTTATTATTTGTTGTTAAATTTTATATGATTATGAATGTATATGCAAATGTCTTTTTTCTTCTCGTATCGTTATAAACTGCTCATTTTTAAACTCTTTTTTTGCTTTCTAACGGAAGACTAGGGCACAAAAGTATCCCATTCTTTATTATAGCATAAAATGCTTTATATATGTGTAGAAGGATTCAATAATAGGTCAATTTCTTCGTGTTTTAATAAAAAAGAGAATGGCGTTAATTAAATTCAACCGGAAGTTGGTTTAGCTGAAAAAAATATCGAAAAAAACACAAAAATTCCTTTTTTTATATTAAAAGAATCAATTCTTTTTCTAATTAACCGATTTTTAAATTTTAAATAAGATTTTAAAGTAGAAATTTTAGGCTATAAAAAACTTACTAACACTGATACAAACAGAAAAGTGGGGTACAAATGTACTTCAAGTGAAATATTAATGAAATTATGCAATAACTCAACAACTAGCGACTGACTGATCTGCCTAATCTTATTTCTCAAAAAGTGAGATAAATTATGGATCGAGTCCTGAGCCGAAAATGTCTTCTAGCTCAGTAGAGTAGTTTGAAATTTCTTTGGGATACATGTGTATCTTATTCTCCTGTTCTAGAGTTAAAATGTCTGAATAAAAATCCTTAGTTTGCTCAGAGTTGGTACTCCTTTTGAAGTAACTTTATTGATGTACAGTAAGAAAATTTGTAAGGTTTAAATACATGAGGCCTTTTTCGTTTAGAGCAATTGTACGCAATGTTAACGAGAAGTTATAATTACAATTACTCATTAATGTATAATCATTTATAGATGATGCCAATTCATTAAGGCGAAAGATAAAAAAGATTAGTAACAACTCCATACTTACCAAACAAGTAGCTGAAACTGAGAAGTGTAAGTATATTTGCAGAATTCTTCATAATTCTACAACTAATAGGATGATGGTGGGAAACACTGATATTATATTGTATTATCATCTGGAGATAATCTCCAAATGTCATCTGCGATGTCAAAATCATGCTATTTATCTTTACATCATGTTTCTCATTGGAGTGAGTGTCGGAAGGTGTGAATGCTAATTATCTATTTTCACTCGCAATCTTTTCTATCTGCTGTAATCAATTTCGCCATCGATGTTTTCTATACATGTGTGTGTGTGTGTGTGCGTGTGTGTGTGTGTGTGTGTACATATATTACATACACTTTTTATGCAGAAATAAAGTATACGCTTTTATATATATATATATATATGGAACAAGAGGCCTTTTGCGATTAAATTTATGAAGTTTTTGTACATTTTAGCGGGTCTATTTGATACATTTGTTAATTGTTACGACAAACATGATAAATATGTTGAAAACTAACACTAGCATACATACAGAATTAGAAACTGTTGCAATATTTGTACGAACGATTGTATAATTTTAAACAGCTAACGTTCGATTGTTCTTAAGTCTCATCGTATATTAACTATCTGATTAATCCAATCTCTTTACACTTTGAAAATTTGATAGAAAATTTTAGAATTGTTACGTACATAATATAACACGTTCTCAGTTTTCCCCAACAGTTTTGACGACTGTAAAATTATTCAACAATTTTCACAGTGGAAAGGGAAGCTTAACAAATAAGTCATTTCATTATATCTGAAAACCAGTACATATATTTTTAAATAACAAGTAAAAAACGTGTTTTATACCTTTTTAAAGATGTATTTTACATAGGACTTTGGAGTTTGAATTTAAAAGACTAGGAAGCAGTGAGCTTGTATATTTTGAGATATGATAATATTGTATTTTTCTATTTACATATATTTACACGGGATAATTGATTCCGAAAAGCGAGTATAAAATACATCTCCAGATCTTGTAACGGAGAATTTGCTGTAATTATGTGGAATCATAATAATAGATATCTATAAGTAAAAGTTTTATAGTTCATACTTCGTGTAATGCGAGTATGCAAATCTTGTGCAATAATATACTTTTCAGAAAGTTAGTTGTGTGTATGTGTGTGTGTGTGTGTGTGTATACACACACATATAATATGTACATATATAGGATGAAAGTTTAATAAAAGGTTCACTACATTTTTTTCGAAAACGATTAGAGATAAGGAGAAGACACCTGTTATCAAAATTGTAGATTAAATAGTGGGGCATACTTTGATGACCTTGGATAATCATGAATATTCTGTATTTTTTACTACTAAAACGATTTTTTTTAACGGGAAGGGGTATGTTTTAATGGTTCTATCTAAGAGGATATTTAAGATTAATTAAGGTTATCAAAATATGTCTCCCTTATTTATCTTAAAATTTTAATAATAGATATCTCCCCTTATCTCTAACCGTTTTCGAAAAAAATCTGGTAAAACATTTTTTCAGACTCTCCCTGTATATACATGTATACGTGCAGCAATTGTATTATAGTACAATCAAATGATGTACAATATTTCTATAGTAATATAATTTTTATAAATTGCTTCTTTTGTGAACAGATAAATATATTTACATGAATTACATATAATACATCTATGTATATATACATATACATATATATATTGTATATATACACAATGTATAATCACTTGAGGCAAAAAAAGTGTTTATTTATTCTCTATTCCCATACAGTTTCAGATAAAGATTTATTGATACATGTTGAAAATTCAGGTACGATACAGTAATGTTGTATTTAGTGTGAAAACTTATTTTTGTTAATAATTTAAATTAGATAACGTGATTATTTAGAATACCGAAAGTAGTATTTGTGAAATTCAACTTGAAAAGTGTGAAGAGTGAAAAGATGTAAAATTGCATGTGTAATACGTATGCATGAACTTACGCTTTTTCATAGAGATTTTCTGTGTTTTTCTTGCATGCTTATTATTATTAATAACATTATTTCATAACATCACGCATGTGGATTAAAATAATTTTAATTGTCTTCAAAAAAGAATAATTTTTTCATAAGTAATGAAAAAAGTACATGCATACATGTTCTGTGTAACATTGTAGCTACTGGGAATCAACTTGTTGGTTTCAATATTATCAAAGCTGAACCAGTCGAGCGGGTACCACTATTCGGGAATCTTGGTGTAAATACAAGCAGTTTTAATCTACAACCTGTAGGTTCGTTCTCGCAATCACACATCAGTATGCAAACATTAAGGTAAAACAACAAGATTAAGAGATTACAGAATGAATAGAATTAGATGAAAGTATACAAAACAGAAACTTTACATTCAAGTACCTGTATTTATACACTTATACTCTTTCAGGCCTCAAATGTCACCAGGGCGAACACCGTCCCCTATGGATTACAACCCATCTCTGGTGCAACAATCATATCAACCAAATAATGTTACACCAATAATACAACAACAACAACCAAATATGTTGAATGTTCAATTTTTTAATGAATCACCGTTATCAGATCAATCGCAATTAAATCAGCAAGAATTAAATTTATTATTAAATAAAGTAACACCAGAAAATCAAGGTGGATTACAGCCGTTAAATAATATCGGTAACTTTCTATTTATTATAATCACATTGTTTCTTTATGAAGTATAATCCACATTTGATTAATACAACATTATCGACATTCGATTAATAAAGAAACATTCAAATATGTTAGACGTTTAATTCTATAATCAGTTGTAGTTACCAGAGCAATCGCAATTAAATTAAAAGGAATTAAACTTGTTACGAGTAACGCCATATAATCAAGGCGATTTACAGCCGAACATAAATTAGAATCAAGTTGCAGTCTTTTTCTAATCTTTCAATCTTAATTCTACAAACTTGTTAATATTTGTTCATGTAATCCATAGTGAAGGAGGCTTTCTCTTTTTGTATACAAGCTACAAGGTCTTTACATTAAACAAACGTTTACGATTGTAAATATTGTAACTGTCTTAAATTTAACATAGCCCAAAGATTTTTTTAATGCTTTTTCAATCTCTTCTTACAAAATGAGATATGGTGATAATGAGAATTAAACCCAAGATCCGCTAATTGTGAATTAACCGTTTTTGCACGGAGTCACGCGTTACCACATTTCAAACAATTATTTGTGTTGTGGGCTACATTCAGAAACTTTACGCGGTTATTTTACTTTTTCATCGAATATTAAACAAAGATAAAATAATATATGATTTCACTCGAGTGTGGAATTCTTTGGATACAATCCTGATGTATCAATCTTTTTAGATACCGCAGGAGCCTCATGTCTGCTAGACATGGACAGTCAGCAATACAATCTGAACTGGAATTCCTCCGACTTTGTGGATTTTGGAAACCTCACCGCAAATTTGTCAAGTGGATTATTCATTTCCGATTCTATACAAGTTAATATTTGAACAGAGTATTTGTTGTTCATACAATGTACAATTCTTAAATTAATTTGTATCTCATTTTAGCCTGAAGCGAACAACGCCGAAGAAAGAAACATGAACGAGCGTATTTCTTGGATAAATGTTAACCAAGAACTTTCCGTTTTGGATAATAAGATACTCGCAACTAATCGAGAAAATGACGGCTGAGAATATAACTAAAGCAACTTTTTATCAAAAAATATATTTGGTACTACGTAGTACATAGAAGCACTACTATCTGCTACTATTACTATGAGAGAGAGAGAGAGAGGGGCGTTGCAGCACATCTTTTAACATAATGTTATTGGCTTAATGCTAGATTGGTCAAAGAAATTATGATTAAGAAACTCACGTTTCAACTACAGTTTTATGTACATTAGTGTTTTCTTCACTGCCTTTGAAAAAATCGATTATTTTTCTCATAAGAAATAAGCTAAAAGGACATCCATGTCCAACACAAAAGCATATATAAGGAGACATAAAAATTTATTTGAAATGCAATCTTTTCTTGTTTACACTTATATTTAATTTATAGTTTATACATTGTTTAGGAAAATGTATAAACTTTCATGACAATGAACGAAAGGAGATGCTCTGCTCTAGTTAGATATTTGATATACAATTGTTATATACTCATCGATGAGCATTAGCTGAAACAATATTATAGAGTTTTAATATTCAGTTGCTTGTGATATACAATTTATCTGATATAATTAATCGGTACCACCAATTCAAGATAAATTGCTCAGCCCGTGATCTGAAATCGATATTGGCGCGAAGTATTCGTTTTGCCAACGTTATAAATTGAGATGTTATTAAAGGAATGTTCATGTACGAAATACTGATTGTGTGGTGCGTGAGGTAATGCTCTGTCTGTGATCAAAGTTCATAACTTGTTCTTCATACGTATATAAAATTGTACAATATTTTTCGCGATAAATGGAATTACGCGCAAAAGAAATTGTGCCGAAATGAACAAATTTACAGGCAATACTGTAAATTATTAGATTAGATATAAACTGCGATATAAAGCATGCGTTTTCTATGTTTACTGTTATAACAGCTTTATCTTTTTTTTGCACACTTACGTTTCTACAAAATCGCACTTTGTACATTTACACACTTGATATGATTTTTATATTAAGGATTAATGTAAAGAAAGGGTGTAGTAAACAAAATGTTGAAAAGTCATCGTACTCAAAAATTTTCGATGAATGTTCCGTCCATGGTACTTTCATTTTATACATGTTTACAGAAGTTTTATTTAAAAAAAATATATAATAATAAGAGAAAAAAGTGCAATTCTCTTAATCTATCGAACAATTTTATTAGATTAAGTAACATAGCAATGACAATGTTTTGATATAAAATATATTTTTACAATCACCTCAGGTAATTTATTATTGTAACGTGCAGGAAATGTTATAAGGAATCATCTTATATCTAAAAAAGTATACTTTATTATTTGCCATATACCTGTAATGTAAATAAAAAAGTTGTTATAAATATAAGATGTGATATTTGACTTTAACAATTTCATATAAATTTTATGATTTTATTGCTGTTTTACATTATATCATATGTCATGCATAAATGTGTTCTTTCATAAAAGCATTGTCGTAAACATTAGAAGGAAATTAAACGCAATAGAAAATGAAAAAACAGTAAAATGATATATGTACACATCGATCCTTAGTTTACTGTGTCGGATCATTTTGTGAGCACTTAATATCCTGTTTAAAGATACAACAAAAGTGCATATTTACAGTTACGACTGCATATTTACATAACATCGATCGATAAGTAGCGCTCTCGTGTACTTAGCATGAAAAAGTCGGCAGTGAACGCTTGGATTATTTCAATGTAAAAATGTAGCTTACATACATGTGTATATATATATATGTATATATATAATATATATACGGCATACAACTGTGTCGTATAATATTACTTTACAATTTTTCTCAAGCAGCGTCCCTGAATTGCACAAATGTATTCACAAGGATGTAGCAATACATTATGCAAGTATACGACATATATAATCCACAAACGGGGAAGAAATAATTTGCTTCACACACATGTGAAGAATAAAAAAGCCATCCGTATTGTTTTCCAAAATGTATTTACTTAAAAATACAATGAAAGTTTCAGTTTTGATGGAATGGGCAGAAATATATAGTCTGTGGTGTGTCGGTTACTTGTAATACGTTGAAAGAGATGATGCAAATGGTATCCTGTACAAAAGTAGCTTGAACAAGACTTATGAACACACAAACCAAATTCTTAGCCTAGGATTTTCGTTTATATTAAATCGTGTGACACACATGTCGTTTACCAGATTTGATGTCTTAAAACTTCTTCTCATGCTTACCTAACAAATGTAAGGGTGTAACGTTACGTGGGCGATCAGCCTGATTGATTGTAAGACCCGTTAGCACCAGTAAGTGAATTTTGTGAGTCGCGTCGAGTACTCGAGCGCGAAGAAGAGTATCGTACTCTGCCGGGCTTGACACAGTACAAAACGCAAGTCTTTCTTTTATCTTTTCTTTTTTTTTTTTCTTCAGGATGTATGTTGCCAACGGGGCTTGGCATTGTATTTAATAAAATTAAATGGACCTATGCTTATAGTATGTATAGTATAGTATACTATGAAACGCTAAAGTACTGATTTTGCTCAGGCACCTGTACTTAAAGATAGTCCTTTGCCAACTTGTCATCGTCAAGTTACTATCTTGAAGTAAACATGTGTAAATACAGCAGCGTATAAAATCGTAGATTAACAGAGACTGCCGGAGATGGTACGAGCTGCACGCATCACAATGACATCGATCGGCTTTGTTGGACGCGTTACATACACGACGTTATATGAGGAGAATTCGAATTTCTTTTTTCTTTTGCACCATCGAATCGTCCAATGGTAAGAGATTTTTTGTAAGTATCAACATTATACACGAGTCCAACCTCCATCTCCTTGGTTTCCATACAGAGGGATTTTAGTCCGTGTGGTTTTCGAGCAGCCTTTACTGCTCATCTCTCCTCATAGTTTTCAGATATTAAACTCATCACTACTTACGAGAACGAATTCATTTTCTCTGATCTAACTGCGTTTTATTTAACTATCTCATTCGAAAATATTTGTACATTAAAACGTGGGACATCTTCTCGCATTCAAATTATCGTTACCTTTATTTAATTATTATGCTGCTATGGTACAATGGTATAACCGCAATGTCTCTTCACCCTTTTATCTAACAGTCTCCCGAAAATAAGTAGCGACACGGACACGCCAATCGCAATGATTCGCCGACTCTTGCATAAAGAGAAATCTTTTCAGTTGTTGAACCAGCAAAACAACATCATCAATATCGTCAATGTCAACATTGTGTAAGTTTGTAAAAATTTTTAAACACCATCGCCAAATCTGGTGTGTTATATCGTCATTAAGATATCGAAACGTGGACTATATATATATATATATATATATATATATATGTGTGTGTGTGTG